GATGATGCGGTCGAGTTGAGGACGGAGTCAGGGTCAGCAATGGCAATGGTAATGAGGTAACGGTGCAAGAAACTTTCTGCCAAATGGCTTTAAGCGAAAACTCGTTCAATAATTAAGAGCAAAAGGATGGTAGCACATGCAAAAGACGAAGAACCATACCGGTCCAGTGCCGTATTTTCTGCAGAGAACAGACTTCACATACGATCAGGTTCACAATTCTCTCATCTGAATTTTTATTCAGAAGCTCGTCTATGTGGGCAGATAATATTCTTCTTACATAACTTCGCAATATACATCTTCAACACCACACCATAGGCACATATGATGTTCTTTAATTTAGTCGTTGTCCATTGTACGGAACATAAGTTTAAGGTAAACTTCATGGTGAGCACTCTTGATTAGTAGGAACGTTAATATCGTTAGTCGCAAAGCAAATATGGTTCTTTTAATCCGTTATCTCGATTTTAATATTAGATGTGGTTGTGCCACCCAGATTCACTTTTCGCTAGAAACACATTACTCTATATGTCAAAAGTGAGGCTAATACTGACCCAGTTAGCGATTAAGATGTTCAGCGTACCTTATAAGCATAGATTTATAAACTCTAGCATAAACGATTATTCCAACATACTCAAAATATTTTAGGTGGCTACATAGAAGCATGGTAGACTAATATCAGAAGCAGATTGGATCTGCCGTAAAACGGACGGGGGTCATTTCCTGCTGACTGTTACAAGACGATGGTTTGTCTTGAAAGCGATAACATGTAGAAACTGTATGCTTTCTAGCGTGATTAACAATCTTAGTACCCCGTAAAGTTATCTATCTTCAGAATCAAAACTTGACCAAGCAAGCAAAATTTCGTAAGCTAAATTACGATATGTTTGCTGAACTGGTTATGCAATCAAGATATGGAATAATCGAACAATAAAACTGGTTTGATGGCGTGGAAGTCTATTAAACTTTCTCCTGTGATTCTGTTTCATGAGAGGATCTTTCCGTTTTGAAGCTCCCTGCAAAATGAGTTTAATTATACAAAAATAACAGAATCTTCACTTTCCTTTTCGTATACAAAACTTTTCTCCAAAACGATGCTCAATAGCATATGATATCGCTTTCTGTTCCCATGCGCTTCTTAGCCGTTTATATAACATAACTAAGTACCTACATGAATGGTCCAGTGTCATACACACTAGTGCTAAACTCCATCTTTCTGTGGGTGGAGGTGGAGGCACTGTTTAGCGCATATTTTAGTATAGTATGCGAAATCTTTCACAGATTAAGAATGAGTATTGTTCGAATTTATATGAGGAGGTTTATTGATCTAACCACTGCAGATGTGTAACTGCTATGTGACATCGGCACAATTAAATGGCATCTACGTATTTAGACAAAAATAGACTGAGAAATGCACAGTAAACTCGGTTTTGGAACATTTTTCTTTGACTCTTCTGAAGATCCAAGATCCAGTAGCAAAAACCATGGGTGGTAAAATGATTCCCGTAGGGAATTATTTGCAAAGAGGTCATGCAGCCTCGCAAAGTCTCAGTTTGCGAATCTTTAAACACTTATTTTTATATGATAATTTTGCTTTGATTAGTCAGCATGTCAAGGGGAACTCTTTTTCTGATGCAGACATTTTTCATGACCCAGTGCTATATTAGTTAAGAAGCTAAGCGTACATATATTAGTACTGAAACAACTAAGATTGGTAGACCATCTGAAATGATTTACATTCAGAGGATTGAGTAAAAAATGACATCATAAGCATGTGCATATCTCGACATTTTGTCTCGCTGGACACAATGTTCGATGAGCTAGT